GAAAAGCCCTCTCTCCCATGCTGGGCATTCCCTGAAGCCAGAGCAGAAGTGGGACGTCAGCAGAGGTTAACACTAACAGACTGATGCTCACTCACCCCATGCTAAACCCCGAACTGCTTCCCAACCAAAATGTTCTGTGGACAGGAGTGAATTCCCTTGGTTCGGTTCTAGCTTTTAACTCTGGTGGCAGTGTGAGCTCAGTAGCTCTGTGCAAAAGCAGCGGCTGCTGCTGACTGATCGCCACTAACACCAGTCCTGCTCATGGATAATACTAGGAAAAGCATGTCTACTCTGTTTCGTTCTTAAGTGGCAAAACAATTAAGATGTTTGCAAAAGGAAAAAAGGGTGAATGCAGGTAGTTTGAGACCTAGAAGACTGGACCTACAGTAGGGCTTGGGCCCCTAGAACAGGCTTTATCCTCCCTGTCCACTGTGGTTTCCATGTTATGTTGTGATCATCTCAAATGGATTTGGCTGATGGGGGAGCTTGAGTGAATTCTAGGGGGACTCAGAGGATCTGACGGAATTGTTCTGCCTGTGGGGGTCAGGGTGGGCTCCTCCTCCACCTTCACTCCTCGGAGGCTCCAGAGTTTCGTGGGCCGGGGTTCACGGGTCCAGTCCAGAGTTCACCACTCTGAGCCTCAGTTTCATCTTCTGCAGAAGAGTGTTTTTGGGATGGGATTGTTGAGAGGATTCAACGAGAAAAATATATTTAAAGCACTTAGCCTCGTGCCAGGCACTTAGCGAGTGCTTAAAGAATAGGAGCTGTAGCACGTGTAGCTATTTTAGACTTCTGAATTAATCTAATATAACCGCCCTTGTATTACACTGAAGGGAATTAAGAGCCAAGGTGTGGTCCTGTGTTCCAGGTCACCCTGCTCCCTGGTAAGGGGCAGAGCAGGGGACCCATCCCAGGCCTCCCCACTGTGGGCTGTCTTTTCTGCTGTTACGGCCACCGACTCTCAGGACTCATTCACCTCAGCCAAGCTCTCCAGGGCATCGCAGTTCCCGGGCTTTCCTCCTTTGCCCCTTTCAGTCAAATCTGCAGGCCCAACATCCATTCAGTCCCTACACTGTGTTCACATTACTTCCAAAATATTCTGCAAAACGCTCCTGCTTTCCTCCTGTATGGCCACTGCAACTGTTGTTCTGTCCAGAAGATTCTCTCTTCTCTTTAGCCATGGCTGCCCCCTCTCTGTTTCAGCTCCTGTCTCCTCCTCGGGGACCTCCCGTGACCATCCCACGTCTCACCTTCTCCCTCTTCCTATCCTTCCAGCCTGTGGCCTGTACGCCAGTTCCCTCCTCTGTAATTTTCTTTCCACTCTTTTTTGTTTTCCCTGCCCTAAATGAAAGTCCCCAAAGGAGAGAGAACGTATCTTCTGTGCTCACTGCTGTATCCCTGGCATATAATGATTGTGCAATACATGATACCCAGGTGCTCCGTGAATAAATGTTGGGGGAAAGAACGAATGAATGGGTTCCAGAACCAGCGTATTTGCTAAAACCTGGATAGGACCGAGGAAAGGATTTTGACTTGCTGGGAGAGGGACCTGGGCACCTGCTTGCGCCCCTTCTAGGCCCTCTAAAAGAACAGCCTGCGGCTAGGCTATCCACCAGATAAGGACCCTTCCAAGCAGCCAACCCACGCAAAAGCACATCTTGCAGTCAGGGGAAATGGGCGGATAGCTGCTAATTGCGACTTCCAACAGGGATGATCTTTCAAAAGTTCAAAGGCTAGCCTGCCTCCAAAAATCCCAGGCTGCTTCTGCTGCTGAGGCTGGGGAGGGAGAAGAGGAGGGGCGCGCCTGGGCGCCTCTCGGGCTGGCACGAAGAAGCCACATCTCATCCTCTCTCCTCCCCCCAGCTCCTCTCCAAGAGAGGAAGCAATGCAGATGGAGACGAGAAATAAATATTCCTGCCTGCTCTGTGCCACTGCAGACGTTTTCCAAAATGTCTGGCTTGGACCATGAAATCAAGCCCACCCAGGAAAGGAGGCGCTCAGCGGGAGAAAGAGGGGGAAAGGGTGGCATGTTTGTCGGTACTTGTCAGCTTTCTGGGGGGCAGAGCACATGGCTCATACTTGGCAGCCCTGCTGAGGTGGGGATGTGGTAAGTGCACTGTAATACTTGAAAAATTGAATCAGAAATGGGAGCGGAGTTAAGGGACTCCTGCCAGGGCATTGGCTCTCTCGCTACCTTTGTCCAGGGTTCCAGGACTGACATCGGGTTCTCTCATCATTGTTCCAAGGCTCTTTCCACAATACCTGCTGCATCTGCTCTGCCTTTTACCTCCACTCCACTCCAGAGTAGTGAACATGCGGGCGGCAGGACGTCTCCAAAGGCCCTTTGAAATCTGGGCAGGAGCTCAGAACCCACATGTGGAGGTGATTCCTGCCACCTCTAAGCACAGCTCGAGTTCTCAGGCACTGAAACGCCAGAAGGGGATGAGAACAGAGGCTGCAAATGATAAGTGGGTGCTTTTGGCCTTGGAGTGGCCAAGTGTGTGGGGGAGATCTCACTAAGGAAGGGAAGTTACAGGCCCAGCAACCTAAGTGTTCTGCAGTTATGGGGGCTTCACTAGGCATGCTGTGTGGCTGCAAAATGTCTCAGGAAAGAGAGATGAGAAGATGAGAATTTCAGCTGGAAGCCTTGTGCGTAAGATACACTATGTTTCCTTTGTTTCTAAGCCTCCCATGAGCATCTCCCTCACACCATGCTCTTGGGATGGCTGCCCTGGACCACCTCTCACCAGCGCTCTCGATTAGCCAGGCATCAGGGTGTGGCCCTTGGGGGACTGAATTCTGCTCAGTCAACAGCACACGGGCCTTCTGGGTTCTCAGGGGTTCAGGTTCAGTGCAGTAAAAACAGTTGCTCAAAACAAAGACTAAAAGAAAATGATGTCTTTGTGGGTGTCAGGGGAATGTTCTCCAGAAATACTGCATTTAATTCTGCCTCTTTTCACCATTTCCATGACTTCACTGAGGAATGAAAGATTAATATTTCCCACTCATGTGCCCTGAATCCATCTTTATGAATCTTCCCCACTCATTTGCCCATCTGCCTACTTGTGCCAGGCAATTGCCAGCTGAATCCCACTCTCTCCAGGAAGCTGTTCAGTGGTGGGGGGAAGCTGGCAGAAGACCTGGATTCCTGTCTCCACTCTGTCCATTGCTGTGTGACCTTAGACAAATTACTCCCCCTTTCTGGGCCTTGGTCTGTTTGCAAAGGAGTGGGCTGGATAGGTTTCTTTTCAACTGTGACACACTATGGGTGGTTCTACAGAGTGAAATCAGGTAGAATTCCTATTGCCATGATCCTCTATTGTACCCCATCTTCACCAATAGACTCCAGGCCCCAGGGGTATCATACTTCTGAGGTTGAGTTCAATCCTTATACCTGGGAAGTTCAGAGCTGCATAAAACAAGCATATGTGGATGCTATGAAGAATTGGTTTTAAATGTTTTTCTGTCTACATTTCTCTTAATTTACAGGAAATGTAATGTATGCATTCAGGAAAGACCAAAGTTGGGTATACGTATGCATGTATATTTGCACTGTATAATAATTGTATTAGTTATCTTTTACTAATAATAGCTGCCATTTATTAAGGCCTACTATGTGCTATGACTATGCTAAGCTCTTTTACTTACATTATGATCCCCATACCACAACAACTCATTATGGGAGACATTACCCACTCCCCACTCCCAGGCAACATTAGTAGGTGACTGTAATTAACACACATGCACACAGACCAAGAGCAAAATGACACAACAGCACCCTTGCCTCGAACCAAAACCAAAACCAAACAGAGGCTCAGAGAGGATGAGATACCTACTCATGATCACACAGCTGGTTAATATTAGTGGGAATTGAACCTGGTTCTTTTGTATTCCAAAAATAATGATGTGTCACCGCCTACCCTGTGTTGGGTCTTATCTTGGCATTCAGTACCTTCTAGGAGATTCTTCATATAATAAGGCTGCATTAAAGACCCAGAGATAATGAGTCCAAAATTGACTGACTTTCCTATGGTGTTGTCAGAGGAAAGCAGTTGGTCACAGAGCCAGCAAGAACTCTGCTTCCAAAATGGCAAGAAAGTGGGCAGCTGCAGTGCCCACCCAGCACAGGAAGGGTGGCAGATTCAGGCTCCCAAAGTAGCCCAGTTACAGTGACCATCTCTGTTGGTCATTTACCTACAGAGAAGTAGGCTGGCTTCTGCCCAGCACAAAACCACTTCTATGCCCAGGTCCAATCTTGGCACAGAATTAAAGCCCCTCAGAATTTGCTCAAACTCAATCATCTGCTCCAGGGGTAATAAATGTAGGTGTTCCCAAGCCCAGGGAGGTTTATGAAAGAGCAAAACAGCCAGGAAGGGGCTACAGGAGACTGGCAAACACAAGGCTGATGTGTGGGCACCCCTGTGACTCAGGTCCAGCAGACTGTCCCTATGCACGTATGCAGGTCCAGTGTTGAAGATCATCGACTGCCTAAAGAAAGCCCTGGAATATGGAGTTCTCTGTGCATGCTCCTGATTTTTAAATGTGGGCAACTAATTCAGTTAAGAAAAATATACTCACTGTAGGAAGGACCAAACAAAACATACTTGCAAGCTCTATCTGACCTGTAGGTCTCCATTTGCAACCTCTAAAATTAATTTTCCTCATTTGCAGATGAGGAAACGGTAGCCCAGAAGCATTAAGAGATTTGCCTGAGATAGCTACAGTGGGCTCGGGCCGGCAGCTCTCTGTGTGCTGCGTGTACACACATAGGCGGGCATAGTGTACATTCCCAAATGAATCAGAAATGATTCTGGATTACCTGCTGTTACAAAATGTACTGCTCACCCTCCTAGCACTCTTATCATACATTGGTAATTGACCGTAATATTAACACACATACACAGAGCGAACCCGAAATGACACAATGACATCCCTGCCCTAAACCCAAATCCAGACCCAAACTAAAACAAAACCAGGCAAGAAAGAAGCTCTTTACTTACGGTAAATGACAAAAAAGAAGAAAACAAAGTCCCTTCATCGTATCTGGATAATTTTGCCAGTACTCCTTCCAAGATAGTAACAAACTAGAACAGTGAAAAAAGAAAAAGAATTATTTCAAACTCTAGTTGTTCACAGTAAAGAGCAGCATTTGCTCAACCACGAGACCAGCAATGAGCATTCAAGTCATTTTTTCTTTCTATTATTTCATTCCTGCCTTTGCGGAAAGAAATAGAACGAATGCCTTTACAGAGAAATATTGGACTTATTTGGCTTTCTCTTCATTATTATGTGATTGCAAATATAGAGTGTTACAGAAGTGCAAAGTGACAAAATATTATCGAGTTGCATACAGTATGCGATAATATTAAATGCACTTTTCAAAATCCAAAACTGCGCAAAGCAGTTCTTACGTTACATATTAGCACTACATTTACTCAATCTATTTTTATTTGTATTTTATCAGTAATTTGGGGGAAACAGAAGTTTAGCACTGGCAAATATAAATGTCTTTCCATTCAGCATTACTTAGTTAAAATTCTATAATTCATGAGGGTGACTGAAATAGCTTTATCTGACTTTTATGTTTTATTATGACTCTCACTGCATGTAAAACTAGAGGAAAAGGGGATTTCATGATGGCAACATTCCTTATTACCATTTAACTTTCTGTATTTGAAAATCTAACTTTGTCAGCACTGAAAAACAAAACAAACATTTTCCGTATAACCTAGTGCAATGTTTGGGGACAATTCTTATTAAGTTAACGTATGCCACTTCATCAATTCATCTTCACATGACTCAGAATCATCAGAAAAATCATTCCGAGCTGAGGCTGGGTGACTTACAATCTTGTTTCCTGAGAAATACAAGTAACCAGTTGAACTTTTTAACGTGTTACATTTTAATGGAAATGCGGACATAACAAAGCAATGTTCACAATGAAACATTTCACCTGAAGCTGAAGGTTACCTTTGCAACCAAGAGTGTTATCATTTCTTTAACAGTTTCTTCAATTAGTTCATCTATTTTTGAATGGTATTGATGCTAAAGAACACAGAAAGACAAATATTAGCATGTTTGGGAGGTGATGGCACTGCATCCGTTGGTAATTTTTAGGCAATGCAGTTTATAAATAAATAAAGCCTGGCCTGCAGACCCAGTTTATTTCCATAGTCCCAGAAGCAGCTGTAAGATTCTAACTCTAGGTGTTTGGTGAAGAGAGGTGTGAGGCTCCTAAAAAAAATTACCAGGCACACTGCTCCTCACCAAGGCTTTGATATGTGTAGACACATACACACAATTACAAATAATATGCACGGATGCCTTAATGGCCTAGCAATGTCTTGATCTGAGTCTTATAAAGCAGGATACCATGATAATTTAATACCGAGGATGAAAAGTTATCTTTGGAAAACTGCTGGGATATGTGGTTAGGAAGTGGAATCCTTCCAAAGGGAATTTGAGCAGGACACCATGACTAATCTTGCAAGACTTATTCTAAAACCTGCAGATACTTTGGGTTAATACCTCAGAACGCCCTAGTTCTATTTTCAGGTGTTGACCCCGTTGAGACATAGTGTCTCTTTCTGTATCCTTGTAGCAGCCACTCATTTTCTGCATTCATGGATAAGCAGATGCCGGTTTAGAGCCTCTACTGAGACTGGTTAAGTTTTTCAATTTCTCTTACTGCCGTTGTCGATCAAATTTAAATAGTAATGCAGAAACAAACCCCCACACAAACAAAAATCTGCTGTAAATGCCAGAAAAAAAAGGAAAAGCAATTTCAACAGAAAATACTGTATGCCAGCTACTTGACATTTATTAGATCATTTAATACCCATTTGAATTATTCCATAATTTCCTTAATGAAAAATAACAATGCAAAACATTGCTATTTGGAAAGGAAAATGCACTTACCCACTCTTTAGCAAACTTTCAGAAGGATGATTAATTAGGAATAGAAAAAAAAAGGAACAGTGCAAATAAAAATTAGGAGAAAGAGACACATGAGGAAATAAAAATTAAACAAACCATCCCAAAAGCTGTGAAAACATACAGAAATAATAAGCCATAGTAATGTGGTTTGATATTCCGATAACTGGCAATCAGAATTATTGAAAGTGAGCAAAGGGATGTGAATTAGGTTAAGTTATTTAAAGTCATAGGAGAATTTTGTCTGTAATTGTAAAACCTGTAGATAATGTCTCAGTGCAATGTTGGGAAGTCCTGTTGCCTAAGAAAATATAGCTCAGTTATCTCATCTGTAAAAAAAAAACAACAAAAAAAACCCAAAAAACAAAACCCATATAATTATGTTACCATTTAGGACTAACAAGGCTGGGGGCAGTAGTAGTGAAGCCAATACAAATGACTGATTTTGGAAGGGAAATGAGGCAATTTCTGTATTAAGATCGTCATCAGGTATGCTCTTCTTTTATCATTATTATTAGTAGTAGTATTAAAAAATGAGGGCCAAGTCCTTTCCCACAGGTCTGCTGTCAGACTCATAGGTCTATTCTGAAGATTAAGTGAGAGTCTAGATGTGAAAACATTTTGGCAACTGTGATTGCAACACAAACATTACTTGTTCAAGTTCATCAAGTAGAAGAAGATGAGGGTAGGGAGAGAAGGCCTGATTGCTCGGCCATCTCATTTCAGTTTCCTTTGAGTTGATTAGAGGAAAAAACAATAAAGCAAATGTCCCTGATGAACCAGAACCTATGCTGACTCTTTTGCTAGTTTCACAAAAGGATTTACTAGTAGGTGGCATAAACCTGAAGCTAAACATAAAAGCTGTGTGCAGAATTCTGTGCTAGGAGCACAAAGAAAGATGTCAGAGCAAAAGAAATCAGGAATATTGACAGGGCTCCAAATTCATTTTTAGGTCTTAAGATCCAGAATTACATCCTTACTTTCCTTCCACGTGACTGTCTCTGCTAGATTTTCTTTGGAATGCTATAAATGATTTGCATTTATCAAATTAATTATGAGATTTAACTAACTCAGAAAAGCTAGTTATAGGTAAAATAATGCAATAAGACATACTCAATGAAGGGCTTTTAACCAAGCAATGAACATTATTGAGAAACATTCTTTTGAAAAACATGTCTGATAGGGCAAATAGCCGTATCAGGGTCAAAAGCAATTGCTCTCTAGGCACCAAAAAAGATTTAGGCTCTTGGTCTAAAGAATTAACAATACCATTCTTTCTCAAAAGACAAACCAGCTTTCTCTTCAGAAATGGGGAAACCTCAGACCTGTTCATTCTTGAAGGAGTCCAAACTAGAGTGTATGGAGACGGTGGTTTATGAGAAACTCTTCCCACCTTCCATCTCTGCATGCCAGACTTGACCTTGACTTCTCTCTGGATACTCCCACTGTCTCTCCCTTTCATTCTGTATGAATATTATGATCTTCACTCCTCATCACATTTTTTTCTGCTTATGAAAAAATGTGTTGTCATATTATTAATGCTTATAATCTTCCAGAGAAAACTTGAGCATGTCAATTTCTGTTGGTCTGTTTCCTCATCTCAATGGGGCTGGAATTACCCCTGTTGTGAATCTAGAAATAATATTCACCTAACAAAGTAATGAAACAATACAGGAAACATGTTTAAAGAACTTAGAAGGGCTTTGTGGCAGTATTACTATCACTGTTACTAACTGATCAGCATAGCAGTTACATGTGTGTATACATTTCTCTAAACTCATCTGAAATCTGTATACTTGGTGTATGTAAGCTGTAGTCTGAGTGAAATAAAACCTACTTTGGTAAATATCATAGGGCAGGGTAATATCTATTCTGTTTATCAGGTTTTAATGGGGTACACACCAAAATAGTCACCATTCCTATTCAAGTAATCACACAATACATGAATTCCTTTTACCAATTCTCCTGAGACTTACTTGATTAACTTGCTTTTCTGGAGCAGTAGTGAGTAGTCTGCCTTCATTCTGCTCTTCCTTGGGAGATAGATCATTCCATGCAGATGTGAGGCTCTATGAGGGACTATAAATACTAGTGGGGCATCTTTTAAATACCATCCCCTGACAACATTACCTTGTCACAAAATCTTTTGTAGTCAGTTAGACTACCCAATTCTTTCTGCATCTCAATATGAGTACAAACAGGGAACCTTCATCTTTTTGCAATTTCCAGTACCCTCTGCTGGCCTTCTTAGATCGGCTTGACAATAATAATAACAATAGGAGTAACAATAATAATACCTCTAAATTATATTCTGGATGCTAGATTGTAATGATAGCAAGAGAATTACTACTCTTCAGTACCATGGAAAGTTTGGGGAGCTCACTTTTTCTTCTGATGCACCAAGTTGCTACAAATTCACAATCGCTTTCTGAAAATCATCCCACTTGACTTCCGGTGCTGCACATTTTGCCTTGTCACGGAACAGATTGTGTGTATGTTGTCTTTCTGTTAAGACCATCTGACCTTGGAAATGAGATGAAAACACACTAGCCAAGTGAGAAACTATTTAACACACAATTTCCTCTCTATTGGTGCTTTGCAAATTTTAATGAAAAAATAAATATTTAAGATGGAAAAGTATGGTTAACAAATGTTTCAACAGCTGCCTTTAGATGAGACTTTACCCCAAACATGAAATTCAGGACATGAATCTTAAATTGGAGAATATTGTATTACCTGATCAATCTAGTCTAAAATACCTTGAAGGCCTGAGAATCCAGGTGGAAACAAGCAATAGGGACTAGACCTACAATAGGAGCTAAATATCCAAAACTCACAGAGTGAAATCTACATAAGAACATTGGACTACTCTATTCTTCTCCAGGTTTTAGGACATTTCCAGACATTCCTTACTCATCTCATTATAACAATTCAGTTTCACTTTGGAGATGACTATCCCCATTCTACAAAATAAGAAAAGGTAAGGAGAGGCCATTTGCGTGAGGCCTCTATTCAAGGTCACAGCTACAGAGCAAGGTCCCTTGGAGAAAGTATATATTTACAGGCAATGATGTCTGGCTTCCTTCTGACTGTTCTCAGTTACTTGGCATTTGAAGGTCAGTTACTTGTCACTCATTTCCCTAAGTGACAACCTGGTCACTTAGGTGTCTCTGATACAATTATACCAAGGAGAAATAGCATAGCTCTCTAGCATGGCTTGGGATAAGAATTAGGATAAGAATCATAGACTAGAATACAGTATTGGATGGGCACTTAACAAAGACCATTTAGACTGGGGGTGTGCACTAGTTCAGGAAAAATAGGAAATGTTTATGAGCTTCGATGATTGTTTCCATATTTTAAAAAATGGAATCATTTTTGGGGGGGGGATAAAGGAAATCATTTTATCAAATAGAACAATGTCCAGAAAGAGCAGGCACTGCTGTTTAACCTCAAAAATGTTACTATTTGGGCATATCCAAGACAACTTTCTTATCTTACATCCAGAAATTAGGGAGCTTGATCCCCAGTTTTGATAAGCTACAAAACTCTCAAAAGGTTGTGTGTTACATGCTGTATCTTTCATTTGACAAATGATGATAGCAAAGTTATAAGAGTAAGGAACTTGTGCAAGGTCACACAGTTTGGTAGGCAAGGTGTAGATTCTATAATGTAGTTATTAAGTCAATGGGCAATTTGTTCTTCTAGAAAATCAAGACTCTAAGGTTAAGCCAAGGTCATTCTACTCTAGTGCAGAAGTGGTTAGTGGTAAAGTGAAGAGACAGGGTCCACTGTGCCAAAGTCAACTTGTTATTTCTCATTATATATCTCCAACTGGGTTCTATAGTTTGGACTAACAAGATCCATAGGTCCCCTGAAACTGTATAGTAAGATTGTGTGAAAGTTTTCTTTTTTCTTTTTTGCCTGGGGAAATGGCTCCACAGATTTTATCAGATTTTCAGTGGGGTCTGTGACAACAATCCTCACACCACTACTCTCTCTAAACTCCAGTTCAGAAGGAAAAAAGTTAAGATCAGAGTAATTGGCTTGTTTGGAAGGATTGGGTAGCTGTCTGAACAGATATGTGGGAGTTCTTTAAACATGGCCATAACTGAGTCAATCTGAAGAGGGACTATGAAAACTGCCGAGGGGAAAGGGAAGACATTCCTAGTGTAGCAGACCTTCCCCACCCTGGAATTGTGCCATTCTTATAAAACTCAGTTAAAACTGACCCCTCAAAAAGACCCAAGGGAAATAGACACACTGGATTTAATTAAGCTTAAAAAATTTTGAGCTGTTAAGGACACTACCAAGGAAGTCAAAAAGACAACCCATGGAATGGAGTTGAAAATAGTTGCAAATCATATATATGATAATAGTCCAGTATCCAGAATATATAAAGAACTCTTACATCTAAACAATAAAAAAACAATCCAATTTTAAAAATGAGCAAAGGATTTGAACAGACTTTTCTTCAAAAATATATACAATGGTTGATAAGCATGTGACAAGATGGCCAATATCACTGCAAACCAAGGCAGCGTGAGATACTACTTTACACAGACTAAGATGGGATTTCTCCTACATTGCTGATGGGAATGTAAAATGGTGTAGCCACTTTGGAAAAGAGTTTGGCAATCCTCAAAAAGTTTAATCTAATCGTATGATGCAATATCTCTTTTAGCTATACAACCAAGAGAGCTGAAACATAGGTCCACATATAAACTTGTACATGTATGTTTATGACTCATAGTAGCTAAAGAGTACAAACAACTCAAATGCCCATCAATTGATGAACTTGTAAATAAAATGTGGTATATCCATTTAATAGAATATTATTTAGCTATAAAAAGGAAATGAAATACTGAAACATGGGAACAACATGGATGAATCTTGAAAACATTATGCCATGTTAAAGAAACTAGTCACAAAAGGCCACATATTATGAGATTCTGCTGGTATGAAATGCTCAGAACAGGTAAGTCCTTACGGACAGAAAGCAGAGTGGTACTTATCTAGGGCTGGAATTACTACTAATGGGTCTGGGTTTCTTTTTAGGGTGATGAAAACGTCCTACAATTGATAAAGGTGATGGTTGCCCAGCTATGTGACTATACTGAAAACTACTGTATACTTCAAAAGGGTGAATTTTATAGTATGTGAATTATATCTTAGTGAAAAAAACAAAACAAAAATGAGAAGCTTCAGGAGTAATTCAGGAGGGATAGGACTCTGAAATGTTTGAACTCGAAGGGATCTTAGTGAACTTTATAGACCACCAAAAACAGAGCTTAAGAGTAGGCTCTGTGAAGCCTGAGAGACTGTTCAGAGCCTCCAGAGAAGTTCAGGTGGATGTGGAGTGCACGTCAGATGCAGAAGTGCAGGGGAACGTGGTAGGTTGGGTTCTGGGACCCCTCTTCCTTGACATCTTTACCCAAACTTTATCCAGAGTAGCTCTAATTTTATTTGTTTCCCATGCTGGTCTTCCTGGTAAGGTTTAAAAAACCAGTTTACAACTAAAAACAGCCTGAATAAAAATAAATTTTTGCTATCATTTTACAGATGAGGAAACTGAGGTCTGAAGAGGATAAATGACTTGACATGCTCAGTTTGCAGCACAGCCGGGGCAAGAATCCTGGGGTCTGGACATCCAACCCAAGCCTTCCTCAGGAGGCTTTCATGCCTGAACCTTCCACCTTAACTCATCTTCAGATCCTGAGCTTCCAGATCAGCCCGAAGCATCAGCATCATTGTATGTAATGCAATGTAATTGCATTGTAAATTCTTGGACCACACCCCAGACCTATTGGAAGCTCTTGGGGTGAGCCCCCATAATCTGGGTTTTAAGAAGCTCTCTATTTGAATCTGATGTGCACTGAAAGTTGAGAATCACTGCTCCAGATCATTCACATGCAGTGAACAGAACCGGGAAAGAAAACCAAGGCCCCCGCACTTGATCCCAGTGCCTAGAGCATCACCTCCGGGAAATGTTCCAACAAATCAGTCAGGAGCAGAAGCTAACAGGAGTGGCTGAGGAAGCTGAATTTGGAGGAAAGAAGGCTGGAGAAGATCTTGCCAGGAAGAGAATACCACCAATCCACATTTAAAAATGGAAGGTACCGAAAGAGAAAATAAATAACGAACAAGGAGCAAATATAATTTAGTAAAAATTCTGAACATGTAAGGCTGGTATCGAAAGATCTGATTTAGGAGCAATTTATGCCAATTGGCAACAACATGAGAATTGCCAGAAATGTTTCTGAATTAATTCTAAATTGGTATATGAATATCTAGCTGGCTTAAGGCCATCAGAGAAAAATGATCATGATAGTCTTTAATCAAGCCCAAGTTGCTTTCTCCTTTACATTTTAAATACCACTTTGGAATTGGAAACTTTGCAAAGGAATAACCTTTTGGTCAGGGAAGATTCACGATCGAATCAATCTAAGGCAAACTGAAAGTCTGTGATTTCTTAGATATTCAGACCCTGCTGGCTAGGGACTGGGTAGCAGGGCAATACAATGTTATATATCTGGAAGTTGCTTGATGCCAGAAAGAGAGCTGTCCTGCCGTCCAGATGTTCAAAGTGATAAAATGCATTTCAAATGTGAAAATGACTTGCATTCTGGCAAACAGATCTGTTAGAGATACCAGTCTAATAAATAAGGGTATCAAATGTCATTTGACTTAAAGGAACTTTATGGCCACCTCAACTCCAGCCAAAAATCACTTCCAAGTGACTGACATTCTCATCAGCACATGCCTAAGAAATTTACTTAACAAACAGATACTAAACATTCATGTGTGGTTTAATCCACAAACGTTAGAGTACATTTCTGAAACTAACAGACTAGTGGTAGATGCAAGAAATTTGTGAAGTTTTCTTTTACATGATCAATGGAGGGGGGGAAATCTGTATTTTCTTTTTTTTTTTTTTTACCTCTTGGCCCATTTCCATGCTGCAAAGTTTTGTTGATTGAGCTTTGGCATCAACCATAACATTAAACATGGTGCATATTGACTGTGGGACTCGAAAATCTGTTGATCGACTGGTTTTTTGCAGCTTAACTTCAAATGCAATCCTGGTTCTATTAAAACAAAGTAGGAAAAGACCAATTCAGCATTCAGATGGCAGCAGGTGGAGGAGACATTTTCTGAGAGGTCAGTGAAAAAGAAAATTGAAGGCTGTAATCAGTTTCAATTGACAATGACTTCACATGTGTTCTTTTAAAAATGACTTTCCCAACTAAGGAAGGCCTATTCATGAAGACAGCCACGTAAACCCTTCCTTTCTCGGTAGTACACAGAACACCTGTAGCTTGGTGTATTTCTGTCTATAGTTTTATGCTATGGAGAAACCTAATTGCAGGAGAATGAATGAATTAACAGAAACCCAATTATAGCATTATAGCATATGTAAGTTCTCTCACATTGGCAACTGTGTACCTTGAATCACTTCATTAAAAAACTGAAAAACAAAAAAACAGCCTCTAATCTTCAAAATCTCATGGTGGGGAGAAATCTTAAGTGACATTTATTGTTTTTTCCCCCACCCTTTCTGGTTTTGAAAGAGACTGAAGTAAAAAAAACAAAAAAAACAAAAAAAACCCCCAAAAAACCCAACAAGCTTATTCTGTGGCTTTCAAGATGGTTATCTTTAGGGAAGATGGTGACATTAGGAGGAGTGGTATTAGAGGATTTCCACTGTGTTTGCTTATTTGTTTTTGCAATGTCAATGCACAATTTCACAATAAGAACATATTATTTTTGTAAGTAAAAATGTCATAATATACTTACCAATTCAAGTATTGTGCAATGGTAGAAACTTAATGTGACATAATTCTGACATAGGTCAAATTATGATCCCAGCAACGTGCTAACTACTCACAGGAAAAACCTAGTATGACATGGCCAGCCATGAGAGTTAATCCTTGATATCAGCATTGCAAAAAGGACCAGTTATATTTTAAAAGGTTTCAGAGAAGTGGGTCACATCATCACATGTCTTTAAAGAAAAGCACCTGGTTAGTACATAGTTTTATTAAAGCTCCTTTTGTCCAATGCATCGTTTCAGCGTTGTTCACTGTCGTGTTCTGGAGATCATGCAGCCACCAGGAAAGCACTGCTTTAAGAGGTATTTGTAGCAGTTTTCTAACAGTGCATAGGAGGACCACACAGCTAGTTAGCTCAGGAACGGATGCCAGCTTGCTAACACACCCTGGGTGCATGCAGGGAAGCCAAGTATAATTTCTAAGGTTGCAAGCCCAGTTCTTAAGAAAAAACTTAAAAAAAAAAACAGCCCTTAAAACACTTTGATATATTATATGATCACGTTACAGATAAATGTATTTTGGCTTTTAAAGACTCGGTGCTCTGAAGTAGCTTTCTAATCATGATGATCATTTTAAGCTATGCTGAAAATACATCATTTTCTGGTTTTGTGAAAAGGAGGCCTGGTGGGGACTGTGTTGGACAGGTCTCTGTGCTGATCTTCTGAGGCTTGCGTGCCAGTTCTGGCCCAACTGGAGAAATGGAAATGTTAAATCGCTCCCTTTCAATGAAGTAATCGTCTTCTGTTTTCACAGGAAAACTGTTCATGGCCCTTTGGGTATGGGGCTGTGAAAAGGGGAAGCCGAATGCCAAGTGAGTATGCCTGGCAGGAACATGACACCCCAACACCAGCTAGGAAGAAGTCACTTAACTCAACCGGCTCTCCTTGAGGGTAGAGTTAGGGTGCCTTGCTTTGGTTGGAGCACAGGGCCTGATTCAGACCAGACTAGACCCCCTGGAGCGTCCATCCAATGACTGACTTAAATGTCTTAGAAACGTGGACATGAGGAGTGCCTGACTGATTTTTGATGTTGCATATTTACATCTAAGACCTATATCTTTACTACGTTGTCATTTATTCTCTCCCAAAGAGCAAAGAAAAGGCTCTAGGGAGTGGACCTTATGTCTTAAGATATCCAAGGACTTCTTCATGTTTCCCCCCTAAATCTGGAGGTCTGGGGATGATATTTGTACCTACATTTGCTCTTGTCTGCTTTTTTCTGGGGCACTAATTGAAAGGGACATAAGTAAATTTAAGCGTTCAATGCCAGATGTACATGTGCAGCTGACCAATTTTTTTAATGACAGGTTACTAAACTGCTGCTGTGTGACAAGCATGATGCTGGGACCTGGGGTGGGTGAGGGGCTCATAATGAACAGGACACACTGCCCTGCCTCTGAGCAGCTCCCACTTTTTGAGGTTTTGACTTCTAAAGATATGGAATTGGGGATAAAACAGAACCACTATCAACCTTCCACATCCATGTCTTCCCTTTTTCTTCCAGTTTCTTTCTTACTCCCTATTCAAAAGACTGTCTTCTCAGAGAAAGGTGTCTATGTTTTTCTGTACAAATGTGTGCATAGATCAGAAGTTGGTAAGTGTTCATTCTAATGCATTGCAGCCCCAAGTACACATCAAGGGACAAATCTGGCCACAGGGGATGTGCCCTGAAAGAAGGTTTTAGTGGAATAGTTTGGACATAGGAAGAGTTGCTTTTCTAAAACTGATAAAGATTATGTAGTAAATGGTGGAATTCAAAACCCTAAGGAACCATTTTGACCTTGGATTTGAGAAGTCGACCTGCCTTTGGTTCTAAGAGTGGGAAGAAAAGAGCAAAACCTAATATCTGAGCCACCAGGAGCTGAAGCTTCCAGAAGTGCCATTCATTCCCTGCCCAGATTCTCCACAGCACACAGTTCATTTCCTAATTCCTGCTGGGATGTCTGCCTATCTGGGATTGTGTTGTTTTTGCCCTTTTGGTTTTTAGTTTTGATGCTATTACTTCTCTTTTCTTCTTCCAAGATATAAAATAATGAATTCAGATCACTTCCAGACAAGTCCAGCCCCCATCAACCACAACTGATCAGTCAACTAAACTGCACAACATCTGGAGATCTGCAGTGGCCTGGGCTTCTTTTGTGTGTGTGTGTGTGTGTGTGTGTGTGTGTGTGTGTGTGTTTGAATGAGAAAAAATAATGGAGCACTAATGAACTGGAAAAGGAAATTAGATGTGTGTCTGGAGATAGACAGGGTGATGATAATGATGTTAAAACAGAGGAATTTCATTTCTGTATCTGATATAAAGCTATAGATACTCCATGAGGGAAGGGATGCAATTTCTCCTTTTTCATGGTATCCCAAGAAATTAGCACTGTGCCTGGCATATGGGAGGAATTCCAACAATTTTTTATTGTCCAGATGTGTATTATTCTCTTTACCTTCTCAGAATAGTGTACCTGGGAACCTGGGGACCTCAAGGGAAGCTTTCCCAACTCAGTCCTATGTGCTACTGTGACAAAACAATTTGTAGGAAATAAAAATGTACATTTACTATCTTATACCCCCTTATTGATATCTAGATTGATCTGGGGCCAGACAACCACTAATTGGCACTTAGTACCTTCTCAGTATATATATATATATACAGAAAGAATGAGGCTGCTAGGGTCTTGCCCACATTGTCAGAAAGTCATTAGATTCCTGCTACATGTATTAGACACGCTAGCTCTAAAATTGTATGTATTTCTCTTTTCTCCATCCAGCTATCCACCCGTGCATACACTCATATATTTAGCAAATATTAAGTAAATATTTTGTGCTAGACACTGCTAGATACCAGGGATACAGAAAAGGGCAAGAAAAAACATCAATCCTTTCCTCATGGAGCTAAATGAAAAAAATTGGTTGTCATGTTGTATTGAGTTTGGGACAGATGTGGGGCAGGTGAACACAAGTTAAACATAGGTGGCCAACACTGGTTGACTTTGACAAGCAATCACCTCCTCCAAAAAATCACAAATTTACAGCCATTTGAAAGAATGGCCATCTACATTTCCCTGAGTCACTGTGGTATGGGGCTGTCACGCGGAGCCTACTGGCCACGCAAGCTTACCTTTTGACACAAGATTCAATCATGTCACTTGCCATCAACTTTAGCCGTTGTTCCAGGTGCTTTCCAAACTCTTCTTCCGGCCAGTGCAAGTCCCTAATGAAGGTCTGAAGGGCATCGAGTTTCCAGAACAGATCTTCTGAAGTGCCTGATCCATTACTGGCAGGATAGAAATTAGAAAACGTGAGTCACCCACTGGCCTTGGGGCCTGAAGATGCTGACACAGAGACAGCTAGGGGCTGGGAGGCTTAAGGCAAACAGTGGTTTCAACATACAAAACGACGCATGTTGGCGGTGGAGGGGATCTCCACTGGCAGATTTTGAGTTTTACCATACACGACTTTGTCTGCTTTGTTCAGCCAATTATTCCAGACCAGCGAGAAGTCTGAGGAAGGGGTTGCCCCATAACAACTAGGAGAACAGTGTATGGTAAAAATCAGCCTTCTTTCAATAACCACATTAACATATGTGATGATTCAGAGGAAGGCCACAAACCAGAGGGAGAAGTAAGTCTCAATGGATAATAATAACTACATGGCAACATGCAGTTATTAAAATTCAGGGGTTCATGCATTTCCCAGCTCCCCTCCAGAGCGGAGGCCTCCTGGAGATTGCACAAGACTTTCAGTTTTAAAAGGACAGTGCTAACAAAGTGGTGAGCGAGGACCTGCTTTCTCTCTTGAAGAGCTGGAAAGAAATTCAGGCGACTCAAATTGAGATGAGTACACCTGGACACCTTGAATCCAAGATTCCTGATCCGTTTGGTCATTGTTCCAATTGCCATTAACCAGCCTGTTGCATAGGCAGCCCCAGGATGAGGGGAAGTTGGGGGGAGAGTTGCGGACAAGGAATATCTGCAAAGCTTTAGGGCTCAAAACCTGAGCTCTTTTACCACTGCACCATCTTACCCACTTTTCTGTACAGATGGAGAAATTGTTCTTGATTCCTTTCTGTACAGTGACATGTAAGAAACTTCTACCTGGGGCATCCACGGAAAGCCTGTGTATGGGAAATGCTCCGTCTCTCACCCTCTGGCCCTTCTCTGGCTGGCTTTCCCTTTTGTAACAATCCCATTTGGAGCTCTGAGGGGTGGCCACTCCCCACCCCCTTCCTCGCATACCACTAATGCTAACACAGTAATTTATAAAAAGTCCAACACACCATGCATTACCACTTGTTCTGACATCGTCTATAGAAACAGATGAGAGTGGGTGTTTCTATTGTGACAGATGCCAGCTGCATTGAATTAATGCTTCAGAGAGAAATATAGCTAGTGCATAAATGCATACACAGCTACTGTGGGGTGCAGAGGGGGCAAACTCCCAACATGCCGAGAGGGAGCCTAAGGCCTGGACCAACAGGGTAACGCTTTCAAGGACAGACCAGTCTGAGGTCAGTATGTAAATATATCTAACACAAGGAGCAGGAAACATGGAAACACGTCCTTAAAATGAAAGGTGGCAAAGGAGGAAACTGGAATTATGAAAAGATATAGAATCAGGCATTTCCTGGTGGGTGAGTGATTGAGCATGTACGCCTTCTTTTCAGATACTGCTGGGAGCATTGTCCAAAAGTGGGGGAATGCACTGTTTCTTCATGAAAGTTTAGCCTTCCCCCTACCCCATCCTATGCTTGGGAAAAAGAAACCCCAACTTTGTCTAGTCTAAACCCCGTTTTGGAACTGCATGGTTGTATGTTTTAAATCATTAAGTACATATGAATGCAATAATTGGTATTTATTACAACAACATTTTGACACCCATCTGGTTTCAGAGTTTCAAAAATTTCTTCTAGGATTTTTTTTTCTTTGAAGAGCTTATTATTAAGTTTTGACATGAGGAAAAGAATATTTTCTTTTTATTTTTAAGATAAACTGTTAATGTTAAGGCAATAGCACCAAGATTATTTTGATTACTGATCAGTTACCAAAATGTGTTCCCACTCATGCCTTAATTAATTTATTGGAGACCATTATCTGCTTCATTACAATGTCTTGATTCATATCTTTTCAAAAACAATGTCACAGAGCATGCACAGAAGGTAGGAGAAGCTTTCTGATATTTATTTTTTAAAAATTTAACAGATACTACCTCATCTAACTTTTAATACAGTCATCTTAGCATGAATATGATTTATGTGTTCTTAGATTTTTTTTACAGATATAAATTTTCAGAGGTTTTAATTTGTCTTTAAAAGAGAATCAGACACATTGACCGTATGATTTCATTGTGAACTTGTGAATGGGTATACATTTCTAAAAATGTTTGGCAGCTTTGGAGGAGCCAGGTGGAACAGTCATTTTAATGTCCTATTCCCTACCTGGATGACCACAAAAAAAAATGTTGAGGGCCATCTTGATGAATGTGATTTAGAGATCTCAAAACATCACTGCCAGTTTCAGATCATTTTTTATTCCTTTGATAATAACACTTCCCTTTGAAAATGTGCCAATTTATTCTTTCAAGAAAAAGCTTATCTGGCCTATAATTAGCTGTGGTCTAAGAGAAGGATCAAAGGAGGGTATAGAATTCGTAAACCTTACTTCACTTATTAAATCATGCACATGGTTCTAATTTAATTTCCCTGAGGTAGAATTTAGGGGTGCTGGATCTTCTCCCTGCTAACGCAAAAAGGAGAAAGGATTCATTTCCTAACCTAGAAGGAATGGCTACTCAACTTTTACCCCCTAAACTGCTGGCTTTAAAAGGGTGGCCCTGCCTCTAAGAAAATAAACCCCATGCTTTCCCGGCTTTTGCATGGATGAATATAAAAAAATGGCCCTATAATCAGACCACAGATGATAACGTTACCAAAAAATTTAATTATTTGTTGTTTGAATCTTGCATTCTTAAATTTAGAGATCTTCTTGCTACTTAGATCTCAAAGCTCTGTATTGTGTTAGGACCTTGGAAAGTATCTTTACATAACATTTATATAAATAAGGCAGATCCATTCAGAAATCTTCATTTAGTCCTGAACATACTGTTACTATATCCTGCCATTTGCTGACACCAGAAATATGCTTTGTGGTTTAAACAGTCTCTAGGAATTTTTTTTATTAAAAAAAAAAAAACCCTAAACAGCTTCTAGGTAGGTCTGCTTCTCTCTTAGATTTGTATCAGGCCAGAGATGAATGGTCAGCCCACCAAAGAGGGTTCCTGGACTATTTTTGGGTGAATAACTCCTAAAATCATGTCACCTGTATTAAACAACAACAATAACAAACATGGGCAAAATCCTTTTGCAAAAGAATTCAGGAAGTGAAACATAGTCCTCAAGCGTTCAGTGGGCGTAAGACAAATTGTTAGTGCTGTATATATATAGCAAACGTCTTACAAACACTCTGCATGCCAGAAATAAACAATATTGTCTCTGTATGATCAGCAAAATATGTCTAATTATCCATCTCCATCTCTGTTATATAGGATGTATAGAAATAAACAATACATATCCATGCCAAGATCACTTAAATTTAAATTAGATCTAATGTGAACTGAATACACACTCAGCATCATATATAGCAGCCATCCATGACGGTGCCGAAAAAGTAGGCATTTGTGGGATGCCTAGAGGGATGTTAACTGGTAGATTTGGTACTTTGGGAAGGTTCACATTGGGTAGGTTCACATTGGGTAGGTTACTGGTTAAACTCCTGTGGAAGAAACAGACAGAAAGAAAAAAAATACCATCACAGTGACAATGCAGATGTGGGAGAAGCACACGACAGTTGTAAATGAATTGGCTAAGCCCACAGCAAGGCAACAGTGAAAACTCAAGCAACACACTTCAGAAAGCAGCTTATAGATGGGGAGCTGTGGCGTGGTTCAGTATTTAAAAAAGAAATGACAAAAGTTAATGGAAAAAAATAACCACAGAGCGACTTATATGTGTGGAGATCAATGGACACCTATATAAAATGTTTAGGCTATTTAAATGTCTCTGTGAGGGGTCTTTGGTTTCCAGATGCACTGCCATGACAATCCAGAATTGTCTCATACTGAGAACTTGAAGTTTATGAAATTTTGGCTTTGCTGTGGTTAGGCTGCTGTGAAGTAGCTGGGATTGATAGAAATGGTGGAGCCCTTTAATTTTCTTACTTTTATGTAGAAACGGTTTTTGATGGAGGCACAATTCTCAAGTCAGATATTAGATACAAGATATAACAGGACATTCACACACTTGAATGCATATGTAATGGTGATACATGGAAACAGAATTCTTTGCGAAGGTTACTTCTGAAGACAGGTGTTTGTGCAGTGGGTGTGAGAGTTGATGGAGAAGATGAGGAATTTTATCAAAAAGGGTTAGCTTTGAATAATTTTACAGAACACTTAAAGAAAATGGAAACATCCCCTCCCAAACTAAATCCATTTAAACTGGAGAAATGTTTATACGCACAAAAAGACATCTAGGCAAAGAATTCTAAATTCAGCTCTAATAATAAATTATTTGACCACAAGTAGATTTATAATGTGGCCTTGCAGTTACTCGTGGAAGCAATGGGGACTGGAGGAAAGAGTGACAGGGGCTTCTGGGATGTCAGAGATGTTCTATTTCTGCATCTGTGTGATTGTTACATGGGAGGGTTCAGTTTGTGAAAAATCAGTCAAGCTGTATATCTTTCTGCAAAACGTTGAAGTTAAAAGTTAATAAAAGGTTGGAAAAATGTGACCTCATATCGGTTTTTTGTCTTTGAACAAAGATTGATCAACTGATTTGATGAAAGAGAAATGGATGACTTTATGAGTAAAGAGAGAAGATAAAACAAATCAAAAACCCCCAACTTGAATCAACCGTATCTCTTTGGAGGGACTGTGCAATATACTGCTCCACAAGCTGGCACCACATCTCTGTGTAGTGGCATTTCAAGGGTGTTCCATCCAGCCGAAGTCACTGGCACGGCAGAGCCCAGCCTAACTCTGCATCTGAGAGGAGCCTTCCTGTTTAAGTGGAGTTGACAGCACTTTGGCAAAGGAGTTGAGGCTTTCTTTTTGGATCTGGCGGGAGAAGAGCAAGTTTTGCCAAAGCAGCTCTGCCCCGGGCAAGCTGTGTTGGATTGACTCTTGTAAGAGCTGGAGCTGCCGCTGGGCTTGCATAGGGGCGTACGCCTCCTGCAAATCAAAAATTCTGGACCCTGCAGATAGTCTGAGCCCCCGTCTCTCTGTAGAAACAAGTTACCTTTTCACAGTGGCAATATAGCCCCGGCCTGCAGGTGAGAAAACCTAGAAGGCAGAATCACTGAGCTAGCAGTCTCTTAAGGGGAACAGGTGTTTCACAGGTTTGCCCTTACACTTCCCATTTTGGGAAAGCCATTTATACTTCTCCACGTGGGACTAAAGGGTGCTCTTGTGGTGGGAACAGGCAAGTAGCTAAATAGTACAATTAAATACAGGGGAAAATAGGACTTTTTCTTCATTGTTTCTCTGTTTAACTGGGGAATCTGCCTCCGAGTTCAGTCCCTGGTGGTTCTCAGTCTCAAACACTGCCACGCAACAAGACCATTGGCAATTTCCACTGAGACATGTGTAAGCCTATATAAGCAAATGTGGTCATTAAATGATACATGCACTGACTAATGATCAAAGAATTAGGAGAGTTTTAGAGATGGCAGCCTGGAAAGTTAAAATGTCAATTCTGAGCAAATTAAAAGTAGCTAGGAATGAATAACATACAAATGTATGCAAAAACAACTCAATTTAAACATATTAGCAGCTGATGGGTACACAAATGAGAAATGAGTTTTGTTTTGCACATGAAAATTTAAAAAGTACTTATATTAATCAAAACATATTGTATTTGTAAAATAGGACATTTTGGCTGGATTATTGCACTGGACTCATACAGAAACATTTCCTTCTTGTGACATATAATGCTCTGTTTTTAAAAGGCTGAACCATGCCTGCTATTTCTGCCTTTAGCAAAATAATATGATGTATTACTAATATGATGTTTTACTAATGTTACTAATATTTCACTTGGGTACTGATAACTTACATTAATAAGCAAAGAGGTAATTTGAAGCACAGTATTTCACTAATGTACATGTAAAAAGGGGGGATTTTCTAGTAGCTCTCAGGTCAGATCAGTTTCCTGAAGTATAACAAATTATGATTTCAGAGGGCTTTTTACCAACTGCCTAAAAACAAGTCCTTCATGTTTCTCTGTGAGAATCCTAATTGGATATCTCTGGACAATATAAGAAGTGTGAATTGCAATGTTAACAACTTATATATGCTAAAAATTAGACTCATTCACTTTGGGGACTTTGCTGAAACAGGATAGTTCCCATTCAGGAAGGGCCATCCCTGGAATATTAGATGAAAATATTCTCATCTGTTCCCTCTCACATGGATGAATGCTACAAATGTGTGTGCACCTCAATTCTACCGATGGAAATAACTAGAGGTGGAGTCATTCCTTACTCCTAGAATAGATTCTAATCAAGACTGTGTCCCCATGCAGAGAAGGTATGATTGGGTTTTCTCTCAAAGACTTCTGTTTTAGGTTTATGGGTAGAAATAGATTTATTACTCAGAATGCCTTCTACTTCATGAGCCACTTGTTGTATGGATGTATGGAGTACATCTTGTCTTCTCTTGGTTTTCTGGCCACTGAAACTTCTCTCAGTGCTTATTCTTATGCCTAATCCCTACTTTGGGACAAGGATACTTTTCTTTATCTTCCTATAGTTCAGAGTAGTGTTTCTCAACCTTTTATTCATTTTCCCTAATAGACCCTCCAACTGCCTCCCGCATGAAATCTAATACCACCAATATACTGTGCATCTATGTCCTGTATGTAGACCTGTTCTTTATACCAGAGTAAGACTTTTCTGCTCACTCTCCTCCGAGAACCAATTTTCTCCAGTTTGGGAGCTGTAAAGCTCCTGTTTAGAATGCATGACCTAGAGAGTAAAGTTCCGAACTTCATGGGATTTTAGAATCCCCCAGACATCTCTGCAACCTATGGCTTGCTTCTTTTATAATCCATGCTGGTCAATCGAACATTCTATTTCTAGCTTGACTTCCCCGCGTTTCTACTTTTGCTCATGCTCTTCCAGGACTCTGAGCCTTTTGAACTCTTAGTCTCCATGTCATTTCCTTCATGACTCATCAGTGGAGAATCATTCCCTTCTACTCTGTGCTCTCATAAGTCTTCTTTATGTCATTTGTACATTGGTAAATATTTAAAGTCATTTTTCTTGTGTGCATGTTCCTCAGACCCAACTAGACTAAAATCTCCAATCGAAGAATACCTGTTTCTTTTCCTCCTTTCCATAGTTCTTTCCTATTGCATCCTTAAATTTTTAGTCTGTGTGGGTAATTTAATAAATGTCTGTCAATCAATCAATATTGATTTTTAATATTAGTCTTAATTTTTTAGTCTGTAATTTTTAGTCTTAAAATTTTTAGTCTGTATGGGTAACTTAATAAATGTCTGTCAATCAATAAATATTTATTGAGCACCTCTTATGTCCCAATCCCTGTTCTACGTGCAAGGGAGGCAGTGGTGATCAAATGTCTACATGGGGTGAATATGAAAAATCACATTTTCTAGATAAGTGTTGGAAAAGTCTTGGGTATTCAAAGTCCTTGTCTTAAAAAGGAAGGCATTGAGGCTCAGGAGGATTGTCTGACTTACCTAAGGTCACCCAGCAAGTTACTAGCAGAGTCAGGAGTTCTGACTCCAAGTCCAGTACTGCTCTATATCATTCTAGGCACCTACATATTGCTACGCTGTCTGGTCTGAAAGTTTATGATCACTAAGATATTGATGTCTTTGCCAATCTGGAAAATAACATTATCTAAAAAATACTTTCCATATGTGTATATCAGGCAGAAAGAGATAAAGTGCATTTTGAGAAATGAGAAACTCAGATTTTTCAGTGCGTGCATATCAAGCAGCAGTGTTTACTTCTGCTATGCACGGCCTTCCTAACCTGAAATGCACAACCAGCAGGCGTGGAATCTCTGGGCCTGGAGATGTTAAAGTAGAGATGGAGAGAAAATCTGTGAAGGAAAAGGTAGGAAGGGGTATATAGCAGGCACAAGACCTGGCAAACTTTGGATTAGACACTTTCTTTCTTCCACATTGAAGGCCATAGTGACTTGTCTAACAACAAACCAACTCTAAATTGCTGACAGAAATGTGTCCATCTGCTAGTTAGGACCAAAGCTTATATTCAGGACTGGAGAGAGGATTGTGAGCAACCTGTGCAGCTGTGGTTGGTGGCCCTAAGACGTGCCCTGATGGATACCCATGAGAGGGCTATGAGCCCCTGCTGGGCCTGTCCATGACAGGCTGGCCATCTGCAGATGTGGTTAGAAGCTACACAGTAACATTTTGCCCACATGCATATGGTTCTACTCATGACTGTATCTGGTTTAATGGAAACAGGGCTGTAGTCTTCCTTTTCTCTCTGCAGAGATAGATGGCCATCCTTCTAGGGAAAGGCAGCGGAAGGACGTAGGCATTTTACCTTTATGTCAAATGACTTCCCTTATATCAAGCCCAAATGATGATCATATCTCTGTTTTCTTTAACAGGACCATGTTCTGAAATAAGAAAATCCAGAGAATATTCTTTTTCATCTGTTTTTAGCAAACTCAATATATTGGTAGTATTTTCTTGTCAGAGTGATGCTTTGCTTTAACACTTTGAACCTAGTTTTTCTTGAAGTAGGCTTTATAATGTGTCTCTCAGTCATTTCACCTATAATCAGGTATTTTTGAAAAGTAATCATGACTTTTGAAAAGTAGAAGAATAGAACTATTCAAATATAACAATTATTTGAGAGGAAGGCTGTGGTGTGTGTGTGTGTGTGTGTGTTGGACGATCATATGGCAAAATCAAAGAAGATTGAGCAAATGAAATCTACTGTTCTTAGTTTTTTCTTTTTGAGCAAGCTTCATAAAAATATTCCTAAAAGATAATTCTTTACTTGGGAAAAAAATCAAAACAGGAAAATAAATCCCTGCTTCTTTATTAACCCTCCAACTAGTGTTTCAAGTCTGTTTCTTTTTCCGTGGTAGGAAGCATAGAGACACCCATTCCTCTTAACACAGGGAAGC